CCCTGGCCCGGTAGCTGGAACCGAGCTTGCCGCCTGGGCCGCGGGCGGAGGCCCCGGAACTGCGCCCCGGGTGCGCCCGGGGAGCGCCGGCCGCAGCCAGCGCGGTTCCTGTCCCGGTGGCCCACAGTGGATCCCTGATCCTCTGAGGACCGGGTCTCATGGAGAGGAGTCTCTGAGGACAGGGCAGTGGATCTCCGGATCACTGGAGGACAGGACAGCCAAGATCCAGCCCCCAGGGCTGCTGCTGCTTCCACCTGACCACCAGTCACCTCTGAACCTGGACTAGGCGGGGCCTGTCCCCGCCTACCCGGCTGAGAACTGAGGGCGAAAGGCTTGGGAAGTGTGGGGCCAGCCCTGCCCAGAACTTGTGTGTTGATTGCCCCAACAGGGGACAGGACCACTTTTATTGCAGACTTCTAGGGCTGCTGGTCTCTCTGACCAGTGCTTGGGGTCCTTCTGAAACGTCCTTAGGAGCCGGGTGGCTGCTGGCTCCCGCCTGTAAACCTAGCTACTCCAGGAGTCTGAGATCCGAGGTTTGAGGTTCAAAGTCAGCTCCCGCAGAAAAAGCCCATGAGATTATCTCCAGGTAATCAGAAAAAGGGAAGGGAAGAACGTGAGCCCCGATTTTGAAATCCACTGTTGTTACTCATCCACATTTAGGAAATGCCCAGCTACATGGAAAGACAAATAACAGTAAACATGCAGAAACAACCACTTCTCTAACCAGGGGGACACTTCGGTGGCAGTGGGGACCACTCCCTCATGAGCAGTAGCTCTGTGCCAAAGTCAGTGTGTGAACCAGTCCCCTTCATAGTCACCTTCAAACATGAGACTCACGTAGGCCTTTGCCACACATTGTGTGTGTGTGTGTGTGTGTGTGTGTGTGTGTGTGTGTGTGTTTGTGTCTTCCAGCAGTCCTTGGCTTGTGGCAGCATCCTTATAATTGCCACCTCTATCCTCACAGGCCTTCTTCCCTGTGGGCAACTCTGTGTCCTCTCCTCATCGTCAGAGGATGGCTGTCATTGGCTTGGGGGCTCACCCTAAATCCCAGACCCTTAGTATTTCTACAGATTTTTTTTTTAAAATTTCTGAGGTTCTAAGTGAACCTGAACACCAGAACGCTCTCCAGCCCAGGGCATAAACAAACACCCACACATGCCCATTAAAGAGATTAGTGAGAGGAGCACCATTTGTGGTTATAAATCCAGATAGTGGATGCATTCAGAAATTGTTATTGAGCTAGTGAGTGAACAAGAGGGGGGTGGATAGATGATAGATTAGATAGGCATATAGATGGTTGCCATCTTGGTGGGCTCAGCCATCTGCCATCAAGTGCCTGGGTTGTGACTGGAGCCTGGAAATCACAGTAAGAACACATAGAGGTTGAGACCTTTATTATATGAGAAGTGGAGAAAGAAGGCTCACGTGATGATGGTCACCAGACCTGTCTTGCTTGCATTGAACTATGGATTTCAACATGCAAATATTGCATGTTGAAATATATATTGTATCATACCTTTCCCCTTGTTTTTTTTCAGTATGTGGTGGTGAACCCAGGCAAGTGCTCTACCATTTGAGCCACACCTTTTGGTACTTTGGCTTTTAGTGTATTTTTCAGATAGGATCTCCCAGCTTTTGCCAAGTCCGACTTAGGACTGTGATCTTCCTACCTATGCCTCCTGGGTAGCTGAGATTATAGGTATGGTCTACCATGCTGGACCTAGTTTTAAATATATGTGGATTTCAAAGTAACTCATGTACTAAACTATGTACTTAGTCATTCTTTTGTTGTTGTCTTTCCTCAAACAGTCTTGCCAACCACCACATCATTTAAGTGTTGTGACTTCTGGCTCGTTATGAGAAAACACATTGTCACTCAGAAATGGTGACTGACTCAATACCCATGAGGCTCGAACACAGGCAGGACCATAACCCTGGTTACGAGAATGCCTTCTCTGTTTCCATTTCATGTTAGTTTTGTATTTTTTTTACTATTTTTTATTAGCATGCATTAGTACCAGGGGAGGTTCATTGGGGCACTTCCATACATGCATATATGATGCATCCTTCCCAACTTACACACCTGCTGCTCTTCCTCCTTCCTCTCTTTTCTGAAATAGTTTCAACAGCTTTTATCGTTGTGTTTCTGTATTTGCAAATCAGCTACATAGGCCATATTCGTCCTCATTCACCATGTGCTGCTGGTATTCACATATCCCCTTATTTTGTTGGTTAGGGGGCTTGATCTCAGGGCCCGCGCACTGGCCTTGAGCTCTTTTGCTCAAGGCTAGCACTCCGCCATTTTGAGCCACAGTACTACTTCCGGTTTTCAGGTGGTTCATTGGAGATCAGAGTCTCATGGACTTTCCTGCCCTGGCCAGCTTTGAACCTCCATCTTCAGATCTCAGCCTCCTGAGTAGCTAGGATCACAGGCGTGAAGGGCTTGCACTTGAAGCAATGCTTTTATTTACTTATTTTTTTACTGTATGTTAATTTTATGAGTGGGGCGAATTCACTCTGGTATTTAAGACATGCATATATGGAGTTTTAATGAGGGTAACCCTCCCTATTTCTGTTTTCACTTTAGCAAAAATGTGATTGATGACGCCAGGGCCCGTTTGAGAAAACTTGATGTAGGGACTGAATATTCTCACTTCGCAGCTCTCAAATACTCGGTCCTTTTACCGCTGTTGGTTAAGGATGGGAAACTCCATTTACTCTTCACCCTTCGCTCAGAAAAGGTAGGTGGCAAAGCGGCTCCGGCTATGGTACCCCAATGTTTAACAGCAACAAAACCCACAAAATGCTTTTGTGCATATATTTTGCATATATTTTTAAGCCACAATTACCAAATGGACTTTCAGATTCATGACATTGGAAGATACTGGAGGCCTTGATTGACAAGGCTCTCCCCCTCCTCCGAGGGGTTTGGAAAAGAAAAATAAGAAATCTAACTTATAAGTAAGTTACAATGCTTCCAAAGCACAATTTCCTCACCTTAGTGCTTAACCAAATGATATGAGCATTTGCAGCTGGACAACTCATGGTTTTTTGTTTTTGTTTTTGTTTTTTTGGGGGGGTGGTTGATGGAGAGGGCAGTCCTGGGGCTTGAACTCAGGGCCTAGATGCTGTCCCTGAGCTTTTTCTTGATCCAGGCTAGTGCTCTCCCCATTGAGCCACAACTCCACTTTCAGTTTTCTTAGTGCTTAATTGGAGATCAGATTCTCATGGACTCCTCCCTTGCCTGGGCTGGCTTCAAACTGCAATCCTCAGATCTCAGCCTCCTGAGTAGCTGGGATTACAAGTATACACCACTGGCTCCTGGCATGATTCTTGTTTTGTCAGGTACTGGAGCTTGAACTTGGGGCCTGTGTTTGCTCAGTTTGCTTGCCTACCTGTTGTTTCTGCCACTCAAGCCTCATCTCCAAACCTGATTTCACTGGTTGTATTGAAAATAGAATGTTCTTCCCGGGCTGGCTTATCAGCCTTTAGGCCTCAGCCTTCTGAGTAGCTAAGATTATAGGTGTGCATGAGCCCCCAGTGCCTCAGTCAGCTGTTACCTTTTCAGAGGGATTCAGGAAGAACTTTTTTGTCTTACTTGGATTCAGGCCTCTGGCCCCTAACAGAGCAAGTACTAATCAAGTCACCAAACAGTTTGCAGAATTAGAATCCGTTCTTTCCCCCATACTCAGCTACGCAGATCACCTGGAGAAGCCTGCTTTCCCGGTGGAAAGAGGGAGCCCACAGACACGGACGACACGGCCACTGCCCTCCGGGAGGCCCAGGAGGAGGTGGGACTGCATCCTCAGCAGGTGGAGGTCGCCTGCCGCCTGGCCCCCTACATGCTTGACGTAAGGATCTTTCTAGACTCTGCCTTGCTCCCCATGGACCTGCAGTTCACGTTTGCCCAGATAGACCCTAAAGGCCAGGGGCTCCCGTGTGTGCAACCGGGCGTCCTGTGGGCTAGCCTCTCTCTCCCTGTCCAAAAGACCCGTTGAACTGCATCAGTGGTTTGCAAACTGGGTGCCGTGGAACCCCACCTGGGCTTTTGGAATT